TAAAGGAGCAGGCAAAGAGGGAGGGGTAGGGGAAAGGAAAGAAAGGAAAAGAAAAAATATGAGAAAAGGAAAAAAATGGAAACAAAATCTTTGCAAATAGGGAAGGGTGGAGGGGGTGAAAGGAGGGCAGGGGAAGGGGAAAAAAATAAGAACCAAGATACTCATGTAACGGTACAAGATCCCAATGATGTATGTAAATGTATTTTATACCTGAAACGTACCAATAAACTTAATGGGGGGGGGAACAAACCTACAAGCAAAAACCTTTACATCATGCAATCACATAACTTATCATTCAAAACAGGATCCTTTAGAGAGTGCCAAAAAAGCAGTACCAAAAATTCTACTGGGATAGCGGGGGTAACTGGGACAGTCCAAGAGAGGCAAGACAAACGCTCTCCTCCATAACCACTAATAGAGTCAAAATCAATCCCATTTCCTCCCCGGGGCCATCCACAAATGCCAAACAATCTGAAGATGAACAGGACATACTTGCGCTTGCCAAGGCCCAGCCTCCTCCGTGGATATAAACAACGCTGCGTTTCAGCGGCTCACCGGGCTTTGGAGAACCTTGGAACACTCGGACTTCCACACCATCAAAGTCAGTGTCAGTCACCTTCACTTGGGCAGAGGACCACGCACTTTTCTTGCCGAAAGAAATGATGATAAAATTCAGGGCGGTCAGATGGTGGGTCAGTCCCAGGTAGTGAATCAGGTTACTCTGCAGGAGAGAGGAAGGCAGAGGAGGCTCAGGACTCAACTTTGAAAGCACATGAACTACACTCCATAACTCAGCCTGGGATTCTTACCAGCAACTGCCACCACGCTGGAGGATGCATGGGACAGTTGTAATACCATGACAAATTTATTTACCTTTTGCTATTAGAGCAGAGAGAATATTTTCACACACGAAATGTCCTTTTATTTTCAGACCAGTCCTGCGAGGGAAATGGGATGGAATTCATCAGTTCCACTTTCTTGAGAAAGCTTAGAGAGGCACTGAACTTGCCCCATAAGATAGAGAAGTGGGACTTCTGAGACTCAAATCTAGGATTTGTGAATTCCAGGACTTAGTCGTTTTTGTTGTTATTGTTTCATTTTCTAAAGAAGCACCTCATAGTTCCACAACATACTAGGAGTGAAGGAAGAATAATTTATTTAAGTGCAAATAAGAGAGAGGAAAGTTTTACTTTAAGTATCTTTAAATGCTTTGAAGTTTATATATCTATATGTGCCTGTGCTTTGAGAGTAGGAGAAAGGAATGAGTGTAAGAGAGAGGGAACATGGTCATGTGAGTTCCTAGAACTAAGAGGCAGACCAGCTCAGATAAAACCAGAAGCTTTTCAGAAATGTGCAAAGGCCACACAGCCTGATGTCGCTTCCCTTCTGACCCCAGAATGCACTGAAGTCTGCATAAAGTATTTGCAGGGAGTTATTGGGTGGCAGGAGACACAGAGAGAGAAGAGACCTAAGTCACCCACCCAGTAAACACCCTGCAGAGTTTATTCTTCTCTTTCCGCTTCTACAAGTTCTTCAGGAAGGAGAATGGCTGGAGAATAACAGCACTCTTTTGTAGACTATGAAACAGAACCCTGGTGGTTAGAACAACCATTAATAGCATTATAAGATCAACGAAACAATGGTAGCAGAAAGTAGGACCACATGACGTCCACATTGTGCTATCCTAGCCTCCCAGCTTATGTCCAGGGAACACCAGTGTGACTTGAGGGTACACAGGTAGATTGCAATGCTCACCTCCCAGCGTCTGGGCAGCCAGGTACCTGAGCTGTTTACCCAGTTTCCCATATAAATGCTATTTTTTATTTTTGTACATAAGATATGCTTTGGATGAAAAGAGTTGGAAAAGCACTGCATTTATAAACTATTAGTCCGCATTCATGAAGAACAAGAACAGTGAACAGCTATTTCAGGAATTCCACTAATATTCATTAGTGGAGCAAATGAATATTAATAGCAGCAGAGCAAATGAGTATTAATAAAATAATTCAACTTCTATATGTGCTATGACACATGCACAACTTCCTGAGAAAGTTAAAGTAACTATTAATGTCCTTGATAGTAAATAAACAAATACATATACGTGGAGGGCATATGGACATGTGCACACAGAAGATTCTAACCATCACTTTAAGTTTTTGGCAAGTTGGAAAAGGCCAATTATCTAAGTTTTGTGGTAAAATGTCAGTCAAACTTAGTGAATACTGAGATCTACCAGGGCACAGCTGAGAGTCACTGTACTTGTCAAGATTTCTAGAGTAGACACAATAAGTCTTTATCATTAATGAATAGGAAACAGGCAATATTCACTCCATTCCACATAGGACAAATGGCTTGATAGCAAGAAATGCTGAAATATAAACAAAGGGCTCTGTTTCCTGAGTACCATGAAGTGAGCTGCTCTGCTCCAGGACAAGCTTCTGACATGATGTGCCTGCCTTGGAGACACTTAACATGGACTGAAACCTCTGAAACCATGAGCCAAATTAACACAGGAAAGTAGAAAGGAGGGAGGGAAAGAAGGAAGGGAGGGAGGAAAGAATATGAACAAAAAATGGTAGGCTTGATTTTATTACTTTTTGGGCTATATGCCTTTCCTTTTTTTCGTTAAATGAAGTCATTATTAAATATTTAACACAAATTATACATGAGTATGTTCCATTGTAGGGAAGCTCAAAAATTAGTGAGTCATTTTCTCAGATAAACGATTGCTCATTTTACATGAAAACCCACCTGGGCTTCCTCCATGTTTCCCTTGCTCTGAGTGCATGCAGACTTAACTCAGTTCGCCTGTCGCTCTCCAGAAACACCCCTGCTTGGTAGCTTTTGTTCAGTTGTGTAAGCAAAATTTCCAAACAACCATCTGTATTACTTACAACAGAGGCCGGATGACTTGACAGAAGCACTGAGTACAAAAGGGATAGAATTAAGAAAGGGCAGGTGGTGAGAAAAGTATCCAGAAAGCTGCTAAAAGAAAAACACTCCTGAAATTTGTAATTATACTAATAAATTACAGAATGAAAAAAAAGTTAATTTAGCCAATGTTGAGATTCTTTCAAGATTTGAAAATGGAGAGAATTGATTAGTAACTTATTAGTAGCCACTTTTACTGTTACTATTACTAATAATAGGTATCAGGGCTTAAGTGCCTACACTATGTGAGTGAGAGGGTAGGCTGTTAAATGTGGCTACAATTCTGAGGTAGGTACTCTTCTATTCCTTGTGAAGGGAAGGGAAGGGAAGATTAGAGATTGATTACAGAAGCTGGATTCCTAAAACCCATAGGAGGCCTCAGGGACACACAGAACTGCCCTGGAAATGTTGGTTTAAATCAGTGTGGGTCCAGGTAGCTTCTGAGTCTTCTTCCCGCAGCTTTTCTTCAAGGGATATTACTTATATCCCTGATTTTTTAAATAAAAAGTCCTATTCACCCAAGTAACATTTTGGAGCTAAGTTTTCTGGAACCCTTTTAGAAGTAGCTGGGAAACTCCATGCACACACAGAAGCAGGCCTAGAATGAGATTCCTCTGGGTTGCAAATTACCTAAACTTGGCTGGCTGAAGTAACCCAGGGCTGTGCTAGAGGTTTTAAAACTTGCAGGTCCCTGGAGAGGTAATTCTGCCTAAGGAGATAGAAGGGGAGGAGGATACTCTGTACGCATCAGTGGGCTGGACACAGTGAAATCCGGTGGGACACTGGCTCCCTACCCAGGGCTGGTGACTAAAGATGAAAGAACAAAAAGGAATCCAAGGAAGCCAAGCACCAACTGCACTCTGCCTATTAATATAGAAATTAGTTGTGAGCCAGGCACAGTGGTGTACACCTGAAATCTGAGCACTTGGGAGGCTGAGACAGGAAGACTGCAAGTTGGAAGCCAGCCTGGTTACATAGTGAGCCCCAGGACGATCACAAGTTCTAGCTGAGCCTGAACAGAAGTCAGCAGCATGGACTCCAGAGCCAGAGAGCCTGGTTTAAACTCCACCTCCCCACTTACCAGCTCTGGGAGCCTGGGAAAACTGCTAAACCATCAGTGCTTCCATGCCACCAACAACTTGAGAAGACAGTTGTGAAGACTAGAAACGAAAGCACCTACAACAGTGCCCACCACACACCAAGCCCTAATGAGTTGGTTCTCGTTATGCGGATGACGTCCCTATCCAGATCACTGTGTGAAGACATGTGAGTTCAGGGTCAGATATTCCAATATTTCCAAGGAAGCTGAGACTACCATTTTTCCTGCTGAGCACATGTTATTAGCACCACATTCATTACCATATTATGAAATTGTTAGAGGTTTAAAAAGACATGAGATAGCTATCTCTGAAAAGTATATTTGAATGCTCATATCTGGGGGAGAGGGAGGCAGGGGAGCAAGCAGTAGTATGATACTCCAGCCACATAAATAACTTAGCATGTGGTCAAGTTTCAACATTAACCAATTGCATTAAATACTTAGAGCACTGATTCTAACTTGCGACCTGCTTCGTTTCTCTTATCTGGTGGTTTAGATTCTATGTCTGTAGTTATCCAACTTGCCCAGCATGGTCATCTCATTCTGTCAAACACCTTTTCTACTCTCTCCAGATTGTGCTATACTTGTTCCAATTACAGGAAAATCTGTAACTACATGGATCACTTATTTTTCTGCATGAAAATTTGTGATTACTTGTGGGTGGGTGGGTGGGGTCCTGGGAATAGAAGGTAAAGGGTCTCTACCACTGAGCTACACCCCCAGCCCTGTTCCTTTTTTTATTTTGAGATAAGGCCTCATAAGTTGCTGAGGCTGGCCCAGAACTTGCCATCATCTTGACTTAGCCTCCTGAATACTGGGTTCATACACATGGGCCACCATGCCTGGCCTGTGGTCATATTTTTTAAACACTGTGAAATTTGAGCATACTTTTAAAGGTAGATTTTTCTTGTTTTAATTGGTGATGGAACCTAGGGTGTAATGCATGTTAATTAGGCAAGCACTACCACTAGATTACATCCACAACCCTTTTTATTTTTTATTTTGAGGCAGGATCTCACTTAAATTGCCCAGGTTGACTTCAAACTTGTGATCTTCCTGCCTCATCCTCCTGGGTAGCTGGGATTATAAGCACATGCCATCGTGCTCCACCAGATATAATTTTTGTTGTTGCTGACACTCAAATTATATGATTTGCATTTGAGACCACTGTACACGTCTCCTGAGACTATGAAGAACTTGTATTCTACATAGAACCCACAATGCTTGTGCAAGAAGCCACCCAAGGACATTGCTATGGCTCGTGTGTGTGTGTGTGTGCGTGTGTGTGTGTGTGGTATGTTGGAAGCTTAGTCCTTGATGTGACAATGTGAAAGATGGTGGGCCCTCTAAGAGGTGGGTCCTTAGGTCACTGCACTATGCCCTTGGAGGTATTAAGGCCATTCATTCTTAATGAGACTCTGAGTTTCCCTGGGAGAATGTTAGAAAAGTCTGAGCCTGACTTCTGAACTACTCTCTGATGTTGTGTCTGGCTGTGATCTCTGCCTTGTGTTCTGGCCATTGTGCTGCCATTCACCTTGAGACTTTTACCAGTGCTAAGCTGAAGCTAGCACCATTCCCTGGATCCTTTGCCTAATGAAATCTCTTTCATTATAAACTAGCCTGTCTCTGGTATTTTGTTATAGTAATGAAAAATAGACTTATACAGTCTTATAGCTTTAACAATTCAACAA